ACACTGTTGGTGGGAATGCAAGCTGGTGCAGCCACTCTGGAAAACAGTATGGAGGTTCCTCAAAAAGTTGAAAATAGAGCCACTCTAGGACCCAGCAATTGCACTACTGGGTATTTACCCCAAAGATACAAATGTAGTGATCCGAAGGGGCGTGTGCACCCCAATGTTTATAGCAGCAATGTCCACAATAGCCAAACTATGGAAGGAGCCTAGATGTCCATCAACAGATGAATGGATAAAGAAGATGAGGTATATATATACAATGGAATATTATGCAGCAATCAAAAAAATGAAATCTTGCCATTTGCAATGATGTGGATAGAACTAGAGGGTATTATGCTAAGCGAAATAAGTCAACCAGAGAGAGACAAGTATCATATGATCTCACTGATAGGAGGAATTCTTAATCTCAGGAAACAAACTGAGGGTTGCTGGAGTGGTGGGGGATGGGAGGGATGGGGTGGCTGGGTGATGGACACTGGGGAGGGCATGTGCTATGGTGAGCACTCTGAATTGTATAAAACTGATGAATCACAGACCTGTACCCTGAAACAAATAATACATTATATGTTAATAAAAAAATAAGGGAAAGGAAAAATTAAAACTCTAAACAGAAATCCTGGGAAACGTACTAGAAAGAAATAGAGTAGTTAGCAATAAAGGTACAACTTAGAGAAGGCAAATTAAGAAAACTAACAATTCAAGTGGGTGGAATAATTAGTTGGAGAGTAAAGTTGAGAAGAGCAGGAACTGTAGGGAATAAATGGCTTGAGTGAGCAAATGGTATTCTATATGTTTTAATTATTAAGTTGAGGTTTTTATTGATTTTAAAGACCTTTATAAACACAGCCAGCTTTTAATTCTTTAATTTTGCCTTTGTAAACTTTTCTCTTGGACCTGAAACATGAGTGAACTTTTCTGCTTTTACTTTAAGAGCGTAGAAAATATAGCTTCATCAGTGCTTGGAAAGTCTGTCTTTGTTAATTGGCCTCATCTTGAAGAAGCTAGAGTTGTTGGTATATCAGATGGAGAAACTAAGTAAGTAAGAGTTGATGTATATTTTTTAAGTTCATATTTGTTTTGCTTACTTGATGGCTTTTAATGATACTTTTTAAAACTGATATAATTACTGTAAAAATATTTACATTCTATAGTGAAAACGAAAGTCTTCTAATCACACCACTCGATGTTCAACCATAGTACATCGCTGAAATATTTTAGATGCATTTCTTTTCCCTTTTGCTTTCTTTTCCTTTTAATAACGTGAAAGCTCTATATCCTAATTTTTTGCTAGCAGTTATTATCATTTAGCAAATATATTTCTCTAACAAGAATGAATAGCATATATAACCTGACCTTTACCATGCCCCTCCCAGATTTCATTTATTTTTTTAAATTTTTTGTTAATCACCATACATTACATCCTTAGTTTTTGATGTAGTGTTCCATGATTCATTGTTTGCTTATAACACCCAGTGCTCCATGCAGAACATGCCCTCTTTAATACCCATCACCAGGCTAACCCATCCCCCCACCCCCTTCCCCTCTAGAACCCTCAGTTTGTTTTTCAGAGTCCATTGTCTCTCATGGTTCGTCTCCCCCTCTGATTCCCCCCCTTCATTCTTCCCCTCCTGCTATCTTCTTTTTTTTTCTTAACATATATTGCATTATTTGTTTCAGAAGTACAGATCTGTGATTCAACAGTCTTGCACAATTCACAGCGCTCACCATAGCACATACCCTCCCCAATGTCTATCACCCAGCCACCCCATCCCTCCCACCCCCCCCCAGCAACCCTCAGTTTGTTTCCTGAGATTAAGAATTCCTCATATCAGTGAGGTCATGTGATACATGTCTTTCTCTGACTGACTTATTTCACTCAGCATAACACCCTCCAGTTCCATCCACGTCGTTGCAAATGGCAAGATCTCATCCCCCAGGTTTCATTTAAATAATACATCAGTTTTTAAAAATACATAGCTTCTATTTAAGAAATAATTTCTTATTTTACTCAAGTTCACGATCATTTTGTCAATGATTATTTAGACAATTCTTTGTCATCTTTTATCTTTATTTCATGTAAATTTAGTCTGATTGTTATTTTGTTATTTTTCATGTGTCTAGAACCTTTAAAAGTAATTTTTTCAGAGAAAATGTTGCATTTTCTGAGCCATTACATATTCAAGAGATCGTTTTTGTTTTCCTCACACATAGGTTTAGAATTTTAGAGGCCCAATCCTTTTTCCTTAGTTCTCTGCAAGCGTACTCTAGTTGTGTTCTATCATATAATTTTGTTGATGAGAGATCAGTGCCATTATGAATTATTTTCTTCTGTGGGTATCTGCTTTTGTTGAGGTATCAAGAAATCTTGAGAATTCTTTTCTTTTTTAATCATCAGAATTCAATTCCCCTCCCTTTTTATTGAAGTCCAGTTTATCAGTTTTTTTTCTTTTACAGATCATGCTTTTGGTATAAGAACTCTGCCTAGCCATAGGTCCCATAGCTTTTCTCCTATAATGTTACCTCATCCTTTTACATTTAAATCCATGATCCATTGTGAATTAATTTTTGTATTAGATATGAGGTTTAGGTCAAGGTTCATATATTTGCCTATAAATGAATGTTCAGTTGCTCCAGCACCATTTGTTGAAAAGACAGTCCTTCCTCCATTAGATTGCCTTTACACCTTTGTCAAAAATCAGTTGAGCATATTTGTGTGGGTCTATTTCTGGGTTTTCCATTTTGTTCCATTTATCTGTATGTCTGTTTTTATGCCAGTCCCACGCTGTCTTGTTACTGTAGCTATATATAAGTCTCAATCTTAGGTATAAATCTAACAAATTACATATAGGATCTGTATGCCGAAAAAAGCAAAACACTGAGGAAATTGATGGAATTTATTTCAATAGATTGAAATAAATGGTGAGATAAATGGAGATCCGTTTGGATCAAAAGACTCAACATAGTAAAGATACCAAGTCTATAAGTTTAAAGCAACGCTTATCAAAATCTCTCCCAGATTTTTATAGATGCAGAACAATGTATTCTAAAATTTATATGGAAAAGCAAAGAATAAAAATAACAATTTTGAAAAATAAGGCAGAAGGAATCACTCCATCTAAGTGTTTAAATTATTTTGGAGCAACTATAAATGATACTGTGTTTTAAATTTTAGTTTCCCCAGCTAGTATCTAGAAATACAATTGATTTCTATATGTTGATTTTATATCCTGGGACCTGGCTGACTAAGCTTACATCCCTGCCTCTTTCCTCAAAGAGTCCGGACCAGTTATTTTGTAGAATTTTGGATTTACCTGGTTGTCTCCTCTTAGTGTCATTTAACTTGGTCCTCCATCCCATATATTTCTTGTCAACTGGAGGTTAGGTATAATGGCTTGATCAGAATCAAGTTAAACTTTTTAGCAAAAATACTTTATTGAATTTGAGCATATTTTTTTAATTCTTTAAAAATTTATATTTTATTATGTAGTTTTTTTAAAGAGAAAATAAAATTTTTATATTTGAATGAAAATTTTTACAAGTCCTTTTTCTAAAATTTATGTTACAGTTAAAAAACAAAAAAAGGACACCTGGTTTTGTGCTGTTATACCACGTAGAAACCTTTCCACTTTGAAGACTTATACTGTAGAACACTATATTAAACCATAAATTTGGGGGTAATATAATTTTAATTTTATTTTAATTTTTAAGATTTTACTTGGAAGAACCTCCAGGAACACAGAAGCTTTATTTGGGAAGAACTGCCCCACCATCTAAAGTGGTCCATCTTGGAGACAAAGAACAATCTAACTGGACAAAAGAAGTACAAGGAATTTCAGAATAGTGAGTGTCATAAATGTATTTAATGTCATAGAACTAGAATGTGATCTAATGTACTTGTTCTCAAGCTTATTTCCTGCTTAACATAGTAATCACTATGAATACTGACTACATCTTCATTTTATGTTCCAAAGAAAACAATGAGTTCTAGTTTAAAATAATACCTGATTAGGAGCAGTTATAGCCTTGCCCAGTTTGTCACTAAAATACTTCATCATGTACAAAAAAAGGCACAATCATATAATACTAGGAATAACAGTTAATAATAGTTAATAGGTTGCCATTGAATTTCTTGGCCGCATGTAAGTATTGAAGATAGGAAGGAAAATTTTCCTTTGTTCCTCACCTGCACACTCTCCTACCCTCCCTGCTCACTCTCCTACCTTCCCTACACCTAGGTCCCTTATGCCCCTGAATTCAGAAATGCTAGGTCTATACCAGCCAAATAACTAAGATGCTAGCCCTCCTCCATGATCCCACCATGACTTATCTTTTCTTCATCCAAGTACTAGAATTCTCTAAACCAAAACAGAATAATAGAGACTGGCAATAGCACATGGAATGGTGTTAGAAATGTATATCCATTACCCTTCCTGTTAAAACTATAACATCCATTGGTAAATGGGGACTTTAAGGACATGCCTCTTACACAATTTTGGAGCCAATACCAGGCTATAACATCCTTATTCAAAGATGAGTAAACAGGGAAAATGTAAAAAGACAATAAAAAACCATCCAGCGTAGGATGGATGGCATAGTCACTTAAGCATCCAACTCTTGGTTTCAGCTCAGGTTGTGATCTCAGGGTTGTGAGATCGAGCCCATTGTTGGGCTCTGCGCTCAGCATGGAGTCTGCTTGAGATTCTCCCTCTCCCTCTGCCCCTCCCCCTGCTCACACTTGCACACTTTCTCTCTCTCTCACTCAAATAAATAAATCTTTAAAAAAAAAAAGTCCAGCATAAAACAAGATAAATGTAGCTCTTGGGAGGTAGAGCTATTTTTGCCTTCTGACAGTACAAATTAGATATCCCTGTCATAGTTCATACTATACTGAATTTTATTTTATAGTTCATAAATAAAAATCACAATAATAAATTTATTTGTGTGATTACTTTAATGACATTTCCTTAGATAGTGTGCTCCATAAGGGTAGGGACCACATCTATTTTTGTTATTACTCTGTTCTCATTCCTTGGCTAATGCTAAGGCACTCAATAAATATATATTTATTTGTTTAAGTGAATAGAGATTGTTTTGTTCGACTCCTTTGATTGAAAAGAAACTCATTCAAAATACTACAAGAGTTTAGACATTTGTTCATGTGTTCGGCAATTATTACTTGCTAGGTTTAGTAGTTGGCACTGTAGATACCATGGTGAATGAAATCACACAGTCCACACTCACACATAGCAAGAAGGGAAAAATGAAGGGGGGGAGTCGGAGGGGGAGACGAACCATGAGAGACTATGGACTCTGAGAAACAAACTGAGGGTTCTAGAGGGGAGGGGGGTGGGAGGATGGGTTAGCCTAGTGACGGGTATTAAGGAGGGCACGTACTGCATGGAGCATTGGGTGTTATATGCAAACAATGAATCGTGAAAACACTACATCAGAAACTAATGATGTATGGTGATTAACGTAACAAAATAAAAAAAATTTTTAAAAAATCACACAGTCCCTACACTTACGAAATTTATGGCTGGTAGATGAGAAATGGGCATTAATGTCTTGTATTAATTTTTTTTTTAAGATTTATTTGAAAGAGAGAGAGTACATGTGTGAGTGGGGGAAGGGGCAGAGGGAGAGAATATCCAAGCCGACTCCCACTGAGCATGGAGCCCAATGCAGGGCTCAATCTCAGGAGCCATGAGATCAGGACCTGAGCCGAATCTAAGAGTCATTTAACTGAGCCATCCTGGTGCCCCATCTTGTGTGAATTTTTGACCAAACTGTAATTATGATAATTGCTTTCAAGGAGTAGTTCTCTGAGACCATATAAAAGAGGAGTTAGACTTAGCTAAGGAGGCATTTGCCTTAGAGAAAACTTAGCAGAGGAAAATGTTGATTAAACTGGTATCTGAATGTAGGGCAGGAGTTAGGCAAAGAGTGAAACGGGAGCATGTTTCAGGATGAGAAAAAGGTACATACAGAGTCTTGTGGCAAGTGGAAAAGTAGCATGTGTAACGTTAATGATAATGACCAATGTGGCTGGAGTGTTGGAACCAAAAAGGAACCCTAATGAGGAAGATGAGGCAACAAAGGAAAAAGAACAAGGCAATCTGAGAGGTAGAACAGCCAGGGAAGAGTTACCTCATGCAAGTCAAAGAAAAAGAGTGAAGAATAAGGGAATAAGTCATGTCAAATGTTATGAAGAAGATTAAGCAAGAGCTATTTTGATTGAGCAGTGGGGCTGCAAGCCAGACTAGTATGGGTGGAGGAATGATTGAGAGTAACAGAAATGGAGACATAATAGGAATAAACGACTTGACACTTCAGTTGTGAAGTAAACCAAAAACTCTTGACCCCTTGTTCTACTTATTCTTTCCCATATGGATGGTCTTGATCTTCTATGATGGCCACAAAGAGCAGAGATAACAATCAAAGCAGCACACTGCTGCTGAAGTTGATGGCAGTGTATGCTGGTTCACACAAAAGAATGATTTTTAGTGCCTGCCAGTTCAGGATCTCTTGTTAACCAAGTAGGGTAGACAAGGCTATGTGGATTCATAAGCAGGTTTATTTATTCTGGTTACCACTTTCTTAGACTGCTTTTTGTTTTTTTACCACCATATTCCTCCCTCAAATCACCTCACATTTTGTCCCCTCCTCCTACACCTCCCCAGCTCTTCTATAATCTGTCTTCTAAGGTGAAATTCACAAGGCCTCTCGTACTCTTCCCCTGAGGGTTTGGTTTACTTTACTTGTGATTTTGCACATTATATCAGCATGAAGATCTCGTGGCTCTAATGATTAGGAGTAATGCTTATGCAGACCATCCTTAACCCTAAGACTTCTACAGCAAGAATGTAGAACCTACTTATTTCACTTATCTCTCCATATATCTTACTAACCAAGACATGTTCTCCTAAGTTCAGTACATCCTTTTTTTGTGAACGTAACATATGACGTATTTCCATGAGTACCAAATTATGTGATTTTATTTTTAGAAATCCTCTGAGTACATTAGACAATGTTGATACCTTTTTGTATTCCTGTGTAACAGATTTCCTTTCTAATGAAAACTACCATTAAGACATAGCTGAAGAAGGACTTTGTGTTTGGTTTATTCAGAGAGAGAGGATCATGTGTAAAAACAAATGAGAAGAGAGGTGCAATATTCAAAAGAAAGAAAACAATATATTTGAAGGATGGAACAAGATAGATTCTTAAAGAATATAAAAGGTAGCTCCTTTATTTTAAACAGGATGGTATACAAATATAGGTTGGTATGTGTGTTTGGTGTGGGGCAGATGAGAAGCTCTCATTGGATGCCTTTTGTTTTCTTTGTAAAGTGAATGTTGAATTTAGCTATTGAGAATGGAGTCAGGGAAAGGGAGGTTGGTCTTAAATTTGAGTAAAGTAGAGGAGGTTTGAAAATAGTACTTGGGGGAGCACCTGGCTGGCTCATTCAGAAGAACATGTGACTCTTGATCTTGGGGTCATGATTCGAGCCTCATATTGGGTGTAGAGATTACTTACATAGATAAATAAACTTTAAAAAGAAATAGTCCTTGGGGAAAATGGAAGAGTATCAGTTGATCAGAAAAACATGGTTGAATTATAGGCAATATTGAGGGCCCTTTTTGAAGTTGATCAGTTACAGGCCTAGAAAAAGCAGAGAGATTTAACTAGCACTGGATTTTGCTAGATGGATATAATGAAAAGACAAAGAGGCAAAGAAGTTTAGGATATTGGTGGGAATGTTACTAAATAGTGGACAGTGGAATCTAAGTGGGATAGTAAGAGAAGTAAAGAAAGTAGAAGGTTAATAGTTTCAGAGAAAGTAGAAGGGTCAGTGGATTGGAGATCCCAAATTAAGTTAATCATAAAGTGGTTGAACAAGCAAGTTGGTTGGAGAAATTTTTAGACAATAAGATGTTGGGATTAATGATTTGGGAGGTGAACCCATTATGGGTGATGTCATGACCCAAGTCATAGCCATAGGATTAGATGGCTGAAGTGGAATGGAAAAGAAGGTTATTGGCAATAAGGAGATTGTGAAACTAAATTCCTGAGGTCTTAGGTAAGTTATTTATGTAAACACTGAAGGCATTCTGGAAGATGGTGGGCATAAGGGTAGAATGGAAAAGAGTAGAGTAGTTTACTCTGAAGGATTTGAATGTCACAGTGGGTTGTAAGAACACCAACACCCTCTCCTAGCCCATATACAGTATGAAAACAAACAGCTACTCCTTGAGAGGGCTACATAGAGAACTGATGATACCTTCAGTTAAAGAGGTTGCTATTGAGGATATAATGGAGTGAAAAGGATTAGGAATTGGAGAAAGACAGAAGACAAGAAGAAAGACACAAGGAAGTACTTTATGGGATGCTATGGAGAAGATGATGCACTTGGAAGATAATTTGGAGTTCCAAAACCTTGTACCTCAAACAAGCAAGAGATGAATCAACCAAAAAAATGTGGTTACCAAAGGATTGGTGATAAACACCAATTATTAATAAATTATTAAAATACAGAATTATTTTTTAAGTACTCTCATTTTACATAAGAGAAAGTTAAAGGATAGTTTTGTTTATAATTTAGAAAAGAAGAGATATAGTAAGTATCTTTAAAAATTTAATGCCCCACATCAGTTACCTTAACCCTTGGAACCTGCACTAGAGACACAAGCCCCAAAACATCTGGCTTTGAAAACCAATAGAGCTTGTGTGCAGGAGAAACATAGAGCTGTAGGAAATGGAGATTCTGCTCTTAAAGAGCTCCCACGTGGACTCAATTATCCCAGGACCCTGGTAGGGTAAAAGCTGAAGTTTGTAAAGTGCCAAGACCATATGGGAAGGACATTGATTTGCTAACCTTAGGTAACTGTTGGAGGGACAGGGGCCTGTTGGAATTCTTTCCAGGGATGAGGCATTGACAGGTGCCATTTTTGCATTTTTCCTCTACCTTGCTAGTGCCAAAGTTGGCAGGTGCCATTTTTGTAGTCTCCCTATATAGTAAAATAACACTAATGTAATGTTGTATGTCCAATTATACTTCAATTAAAAAAGAAAGAATACAGACTAGGGGCACCTGGCTAGTCAGTAGAGCATGCGACTCTAATCTCAAGGTTGTGAGTTTGAGCCCCAAATTGGAGGCAGAGTTTACTTAAAAATAAATAAACACAGGTGGGGCGCCTGGGTGGCTCAGTCGTTAAGCATCTGCCTTCAGCTCAGGTCATGATCCCAGGGTCCTGAGATCAAGCCCGGCATCGAGCTCCCTGGCTTTGCGGGGAGCCTGCTTCTCCCTCTCCCACTGCCCCTGCTTGTGTTCTCTCTCTTGCTGTGTCTCTCTCTGTCAAATAAATAAATAAAATCTTTTAAATAAATAAACACAGGTGTTTAAAAAAAAAAGAGAGAATACTGACTACAACACTGACCCCAAAGCAATAAAAGTGTAAGATAAAAGCAAAAGTAAATAGAGAGGGGTGCCTGGGTCACTCAGTCGGCTAAGCCTCCGACTCTTGGTTTTGGCTTGGGTCATGACCTCAGGGTCCTGGGATCTAGCCCCGGGTCAGGCTCTACGCTCAGCCGGGAGGTTGCTTGAGATTTTTCTCCGTCTCCCTCTGCCCCTGCCCACCCCCCCATACACACGTGCACTCGCATGTACTATCTCTCTCTCTCAAATAAATAAATCTTTTAACTCTAGAGATTAGTTTTTCCTATTTTGAACTTTGTATGAATTGATTCATACATAATGTATTCTTTTGGAACCTGACCTCTTTTCCTCAGTAGTGTGATTTTAATATTCATCTGTGTTGTTACTTATAGTTTAGTTTGTTCATTTTCACTGATTACATTACATTGTATGAATATAGCACAATTTATCCATACTTTTTTGGATAGGCAGTTGTTTCTTGTTTGGGGCTTTTAGTGAATACATATGTATGCATTACTGTTAGGTACATAATTACAAGTGGAATTATTGCTTCATAGGATAATGCTTAAGCTCAGCTTTAGTAGATACCACCGAAAAGATTTACAAAGTGATTGTATCAATTTACATTCTTCCAGCAATTTATAAGAATTTCTTTTATCTCTACCCCCATCAATGCTTATTATTGTCCCTTACATTTTAGCCATTGTAATATAGTGATATTTCTTTTGGTTTAATTTGCCTTTCCCTGATGAGCATCCTTTCATATTTGTCAGGCATTTGAATATGCTCTTTTGTGCAATGCCTGTTCAAATATTTTGCCCTTTTTCTGAGTTGATTACCTATCTCATACTTGTTTTTGTTTTTAAGATTTTTTAATTTATTCATTTGAGAGAGAGAAAGAGCGAGTGAGCACGAGAGCATGAGCACAGGGACCAGCAGGGGAGGAGAGGCAGAGGGAGAGGGAGAAGCAGACTCCCTGCTGAGCAGGGAGCCCGATGTGGGGCTCGATCCCAGGACCCTGAGATCATGACATGAGCTGAAGGCAGAGGCTTAACCCACTGAGCCACCCAGGTGTCCCACTGTCTTTTATTTGTAATTTTCATTATTGATTTGTGATGTTATTCTCAATTTCAGAGAAAAGCCTTAAATAATTCATTATTAAATATGATTGCCATAGAGGGTTTTTTTTAATCAATATTCTTTATCAGATAAAGGAAATTTCCTTCTATTCCTAGTTGGTTGAGAGTTTTTATCATTAATCAGTACTGATTTTGTCAATTTTTTTCTGTATCTGTCAAAATGACCATGTGATTTTTCTTTTTTTCTTTTAATCTGGTGAATCATGTTGATTGAATTTCAAATATAAATCTGTCCCTGAATTCCTGGAGTAAATCCTATTAGGCTATGATGTATTATCCTTTTTATATGTAATTGGATTCAATTTGTTACTTTTTGTTTAGGATTTTTGCTTTTATTTTCATGAGAAAGATTAGCAGATAATTTTCCTCTCTCGAGATATCCTTGTCATATTGGTAGCAAGATTACTGGCTAAATAACTTTTGAGTGAAAGTAGTAGGTTTTCCCATTGAATTTTTAGAAAATGGTAGTAGAGGGCACCTGGGTGGCTCAGTCAGTTAAGTGTCTGCCTTCAGCTCAGGTCATGATCCCAGGGTCCTGGGATCAAGTCCCACATCAGGCTCCTTCCCCAGCAAAGAGACTGTTTCTCCCTCTGCCTGCCACTCCCCCGTCTTGTGCTCTCTCTCTCTCTGACAAATAAATAAATAAATCTTTAAAAAAAAAAAGAAAGAAAGAAAATGGTAGCAGAATGCTACATTTCAAAAATTGTTAGAAAACTTATGTTTCTTTTTTAAGATGGTGTGGCTTATTTCAGACCAAGGCTACCATTGAGAACAACAACATAAAAGTATCAGCTGCTATGAAAAAAACATACATATATAATGTCATTCATCTATATACTATATTTATAGTATATATTTTATAATACATATATTTATATAAAAACACAAATACAAAAATTTAAATTATGATATAATGAGCTCAGTAGATGGCCTGAATAGTAATATAGGCATACTGAAAATTCAGTCAGTGAGTTAAAAGTTGAAGCTGAGGAATTCCTTTAGCACATAGTACAAAAGCACGAAGAGATGAAAAAGAGTATAGTTAATTTCTAATATTTCTCTAAAAGAAGTTCTAGAAAGAGAAAATGGAAAGGAGATAGAAAAATATCCCTTGGATGAAGAATGATTTTATCTTTAGATCAGAGGTCGGCAGGTTTTTTTTGTAGAGGCCAGATAGTAAGTATCTTAGGCTTTGTAGACCTTACAGTGTTTGTCACAACCACTCAACTATGCTGTTGTAACACAAAAGCCATCATAGACAGTAAATAAATTGATGACTATGTTTCAGTAAAATTTTATTTACAAGAACTGGAGTCAGTCTAGATTTGTCTCATGATCGTAGTTTGCTGACCCCTACTTGAGATTGCAAAGGCCCACTGAATGCCCGTTAACCTCTTTTTGTCTTTCTGGATTCACCTATTCTGTATGTTTTACAGAAATGGAATCCTATATAATATGTGGCCTTTTGTGTCTAACTTCTTACACTTAGCATATTTTTTAGGTTCATACACATTGTAACAGGTATCAGTACTTCTTTCTTTTTATGGCCAAATATTTTATTGTATGGATATACCACCTTTTGTTTATCCAGTCATCTCTTGGAAGACATTTGGGTTCTTTCCACCTTTTTGCTATTGTGAGTAATGCTGCTCTGCACATTCATTTATAAATATTTGTTTGAGTACCTTTCCAGTTCTTTGTGTACATACCTAGAAGTGGAATTGCTAGACTTTTTGAAGAACTCGAAACTGCTTTTCACAGTGAGTGCACCATTTTGCATTCCCACCAGCAATGTACAAGTGTTTCAGTTTCTCCACATCTTTCCAACACTTGCTATTTTCACTTTTTTTTTTGTTATCCCCATCCTAGTGATTATGAAACACAAGAATTTCTTGGGGTGCCTGTGTGGCTCAGTTGTTAAGCATCTGCCTTCAGCTCAGGTCATGGTCCCAGGGTCCTGGGATCGAGCCCCATATCAGGCTCCCTGCTCCACGGGAAGCCTGCTTCTCCCTCTCCCACTCCTCTGCTTGTGTTCCCTCTAGCGCTGTGTCTCTCTCTGTCAAATAAATAAAATCTTAAAAAAAAATTTCTTATTGCACTTAAACGAGTTCTCATTTAATCACACAGGCATTGGGAGAGGTATCCATACAGTAAAAAACTAATGCAAAAAAATTTTAAGTTAGGTACTCAGAACTGCTAGCATATTTATTTAAATTTTATTTAAATATTTGATTATGAGTTGGTAGTTTATCATCCTAGAATATATACATATTCATACATATCTACATTTATTTTTTATTCTTTCTTTTAGCTACCTAAGAAGGAAAGGAATAATAATAAATGAAACATCTGCAGTTGTATATGCTCAGTTACTCACAGGTCGTAAATACCAAATAAATCAAAATGGTGAAGTTCGTCTAGAGAAACAATGGTCAAAACAAGTTCTTCCTTTTGTTTATCAAACTATTGTAAAGGTAAGTGTCCATCAAATCTCAATTGTATCTTAATGTACACTACTCCCACTGTATAAAGAAAAGACTATATCATATTTAATATTTATAAATAGAAGACTAATGCAGCAATGCATAATGGAGATTATGATTTAATATGAAAAAACTGTAGTCTTTTTTTTAATTTATGTATAATTGACATATTGGTTTCGAAGTGTACAAAATGATTCAATATTTGTATACACTGCCAAATGATCACCAATATAAGTCTAGTTACCATCTGTCACCAAAGTTACAAAATTTTTTTCTTATGATGAGAACTTTTAAGATTTACTGTTTTACAGCTTTAAAATATGCAGTGCATTATTATTGACTAAAGTCACCACGCTGTACATTATTATATCCCTATGATTTATTTATTTTATAACTCTAAGTTTGTACCCCTTAAGCCCCTTCACCCATCTCCCCAAACCCCTTCCCTCTGGCAGCCACCAGTCTTTTCTCTGTATCTGTTACTTGTGTTGTGTTTTGTTTTATTTGTTTGTTTTGTTTTTTAAATTCCGTATTAACTGAAGTCATATATTTGTCTTTCTCTGTCTTACTTCACTTAGCATAATACCCTCATGTCCATCCATGTTGTTGCAAATGGCAAGATTTTCATTATTTTTTATGGCTGAGTAGTATCCGTGTGTGTGTGTGTGTGTAGAGAGAGAGAGACCACATATATACATGGGGGTGGGGTGTGCCTGCCAGCTTTAGCAGGACATACCTGCCAATGCTAGCAAAATGAAGGAAGAACACACAAAATGGCACCTGCCAGCACTTCTGTGCCCAGAGAAAGTCCCAACAGTCCCCTGTCCCTCTGGCAAACACTTTTAAGATTAGCAAATGAATGTTTTCTAGGCGCTTTCAAACTGCTGCTTTTACCCTGGATCTCAGGGCCAGTGAGTCTGCACACAAGCCCTTTATAAGAGTAGAATCTCCATTCCCTACAGCCTTTTGGGTCTCCTGGACATAAGCCCCATTGGTTTCAAAGCCAGATACTTTGGCGGCCTGTCTCTCCAGTGCAGTTTCCAAGGGTTGGAGTGCCTGATGTGGAACACAAACCCCTTGCTCCTCAAGAAGGAGATCTCTCCTGATTGTGGGTCTCCACATCAGGGGTGGGGTTTATGGCAAGAGCATGTGTCTGCCTCTCCTACCCGTATCGATGTGTACCTTTTAGTCTTTTGTTGTGGAGTTGCTCTTCACCTAGTTTTCAGGTCTTTTTAAGAGGGAGCTAATTGTTCCATATGTAGCTGAAGATTCGGTGTATCCATGGGAGGAGAGGAGTTGAGGATCTTCCTGTGCCGCCATCTTGAACCACCACAAAAACTGTAGTCTTTAAAAGGATTATTATATGCTCAGACACTCACTCTGTGTATGGTTAGGGAACTTGTCTTTTTTTATTTATTTTTTAAACTTAATCTCTAATGAAAAAGCCCAGCATTAGCCTAACGGCCTGCAGTTTTAGAGTTTTATTCTCCAAAAAATGTTTGCCTTAAATAAATTAGTAAATAAATAAAAGCATTTGCTTTTGTGTTTGTAATTTTGGGTGTGATAAGGAGACAAAATTTTTTTAAAGTGTGTATTGATCCTGTAATTTTGGGAAACAGTATAGTGTAGTGATTAAGAGCACAGACTGCCTGAGTTGACTTTTTAGCTGTATAACCTTGGGTGAGATTTCATCCCCTTTCTATGCCTGAGTTTCCCCATGTGTAAAGTGAGGCTAATAATGATCTGTGCTGTAGAGGGTTATCTTGAGGATGAAATGAACTGATAAATGTATGCAGTACCTAGAAGAATGGCATATAAAGTCAATACATTTTAGCTACTAGTATTGTTACATAGAAAATCTTTACACTTCACATTTGCAGACAGCATAGTAATAACCCCAGAGGAAGAAAAACTTGATGTGCAATCCATAGAAATTTTGACTGTGATAATTTATTTTTATATTTCATTCTATATAGGACATCCGAGCTTTTGACTCCCGTTTCTCCAATATCAAAACATTGGATGACTTGTTTCCTCCTAGAAGTATGGTCTTTATGCTGGGAACCCCCTATTATGGCTGCGCTGGAGAAGTTAGTTCCTGTTATTGTTACTAATTAAATTTCTTTCTAGTTTTAAGTTAATATAGTTATTTAACTTCTCTTCACTTAGGTATAAGATAAAATGTAATACTGAAGGGGAAAAGATTCATTTGTCTTACTTATGAACACAGTATTTGACTATATATCTTTCATCTTGAGCAGGTTGGGGTCAGGAGGCAGGGGAAAAAGAATTCAAATCCTAATCTCTTATTTAGCAGGTTTATTCATTATGGTAGTATGGATGAAGCAATTACGAAATTATTTTAGTTGTATTATTGGGTTGATGAACTTGTAAATGTGTTGATATTTGAGGAACTCCAGTTCTCACATGGAAAAAGATACATGTAAATATGAAATGGAAGAATGCAAGGAGGAATCTGTGGAGATAGATTAGAATTGAAGGTATTAATGTGAACTCATGATTTTTAAAATACGTGTGTATACATGTATGTATATAGGCACACGTGTATGGATATATATGTATATTTGTATGTGTATGAATGCATATATGCCTGTACATACACATATGTTTTAGCTCTATTTGCTCAAAAGGATAAGAAGCCAAGATACTTCGATAACAGTGAACACATAAAATCTGCAGGTTTGACTTCTAATAACATACTCCACTGAAAGCTTCTCAGAGAAATGGCCCATTACAGGGTTGGGGCAGGGTAGGTACAGGATTAGCCTGGAACCACTTGTTATGCCAGAAAGTAAGGAAGTGCTCAAAAGAGTGATGGGACCATATCACATAAACACAGAAACCTATTTAAAGGGGCTCCTACCAAACTGGCCAAATCTGGGACAGTTTGAGTACCAAAATAATGAAGTACAGTAATGGATTATAAACCATTGGGGGGGGATAGGAATTAATGATTCCATAATGATAATAAATAAGTAAAAGGGTAAAGGAAGGGCTCTTGCTTATATACCCTGTCAAAGGTACATGGAGAGAGTGCTAGAGTTGGAAAACTGTCATTTTATAAGCATTACGATAAAGATTGAGTCAAGCAACAATCATCATTGGAAACTAAATCTAGGGGGAATTTTTTATCTGAGTAGGATATTTTCATGGCCTTAGAAAGTGTCTTCCTACAGATCGTTAATTAGTTGTAAGAGGAAAAAAAAACTAATTGGACATTGAAGAAAGTGAGCAATATCGTGTACCTCCATATGTGATACCTAAGAAGGACACATCACCCATGCACTATTCTGGCTGGGAATATATGAGTTTAACTTAATCATAAGGAAGCATCAGACAAATCCAAAATGAGGAACTTTTGTTTTTAAAGGCAGGAGGAAGAGGGAAGAATGACCTTATTCTTCAAAAATGTCAATGTTATAAAAGGCAAACACTTTGGATATAGTCTAGATTTAAGGAGGCTAGAGCTATGACAACTAAATGCAATGTCTGATCCTAGCCTAGTTTCTGTAGTAGAGGGAGAAAAGGGTTTTCTTTATTATAATATAGGAACAATTTTAGGTCAACTGTGACAAAATTGGAATATGGACAGTTGATTGAAGTATTTTATCAATGTAAATGAATATACTTAGTAACTGTACTGTGGTTATATAATAAAATATCCTTCTTAGGAAATATACACCAAAATATTAAAGGGTAAGGGACATGATATATGTAATATACCCTCAAAAAGTTCAAAAAAATAATCATGTATATGTAAATACACAGAGTATAAATGTTGAAGCAGATGGAGTAAAATGTTAACGTCTAGGTGAATGTTTTACAAGTGATCTTTGACCTGTTTTTGTGTTTGCAGCTTTTTGGTAATTTAAAATTATTTGCTAACAGCTATTAAAGCAATTACAATGACTCAAATTTGCAATATAATCACATTCATTTATAATTTCTGAGAGAATCTCCAGTATCCAACTTTACCGTCTTACTGTATTTCAGAAATAAACACTGTTCAAGTAAGTAGAAAAGTAAATACAATGTGAAAGAGACTAAAACAAACTGTGATTTTCTTTTTCCCTCCAAGGTTCAAGATTCAGGGGATGTGATTACAGAAGGTAGGATTCGTGTGGTTTTCAGCATTCCATGTGAACCCAATCTTGATGCTTTAATACAGAACCAGCATGTGAGTACCATAGTCCATACTGCTTAATTTAGAATTGATAAACTTTAAAAGTGGTAGAAGCATATTTTTACCATCTTCTCTGAATATATTATAAATATTTTTATTTAATACTGATTAAATTATCTCACAGTTGCATCTGGTATTTAAAAATGAGTGTGGGGAATCTGTGCTCAAACTTCATGCAAATATTCAGGGGAGGGGCGCCTGGGTGGCTCAGGTCATGATGCCAGGTTCCTGGGATTGAGCCCCGAGCCCCAAGCCCCGCATCTGGCTCCCTGCTCAGCGGGAAGCCTGCTTCTCCCTCTCCCTCTGCCACTACCCCTGCTTATGCACTCTCTCTCTCTCTCTCAAATAAATAAAAATAAAAATCTTTAAAAAAAAATGTTCAGGGGAAAAAAATCACTGAAATCCCATTATTAATCTATAACAGTTTTTATGGGTTATCATGTGCAAGCTTAAGAAGGGGCACATTTTTTAGCCCACCCTCTGGGAATAGACTTAGATGTTTTTTAAATAAACTTTTCATAATCAAAGCCTACATTTTTAGTTACAAGTAATGGCCTTTCTGCAGTGGAAGCTAAAGATGAACAATCACTAGAAAAAATTGGGAAACTGCCTTTAAATTCACAGCATCCTTTTTTAGGACCTTTTTCTCCAAAGATGTTCACTGGCCTCCTTTATTTTTCCCTATTACAATAGGAGGAGGATTCTGATATCTGTTGTATATTCTTATTGACTAGATAATTAATTTGACAGAAGTTAATTCACAATCAGCCAGCTATTGATACTTACACTTTTATTCTCTCTAATTGTAAATTCTAAAGCTTTATATCCTGTAGGATGAACTCAAGGCATTGAACAGCAGCATATACTTCAGGAAACTTTATGGAAGGCAGACAAGTCCCTAAATTCTTACCATCAGGTGTCTTTTGGAGAAAGAATTCAGAAAGCACAGTCAGGAAACCAGAAGAGTGTCCCATTTGATTAAGATGCTGGAGCTCTCTGTTCTGGGAGTTAGTGGAGGTAGAACAACTTATTTATGTTCCTTCATCCCTAGCTTTTTCTAGATGTGAATGAACCTGCCCACCTCCAACGTACAGTGTTGCTAGGCATGCCTTCTCCACTATGCTCTCTTTCTCTTTACATACTTTAACTTTTACTCAAGCCTTCTTTCTCTACCCCAATGTTCTCTGCTTTTTATTTTACATTTTCTAGAATATTTTGTGATGGTCTTCATCAATTTTAATTATATCATAACCAAATACTTCTCAAAAGGAATACCATTGGTATTTTGGATAGGACAACAATGTGTAAAATAAGACTGTCCTATATATGACAGCATAGTTGGCATCTTTGTCCCCTGGACACTAAGAGGTAGTAGCCCACGCCAATAACTGAATGATGTGCCCCTACACATTTCCAGATGCTTATTAGAAAAATAAGTGATACTACCTGTGATAGAGAACTACTACCTTATTTCTTCCTATCTATTCTGGAAAGCATATTTGATTTGTCTGTATTATTTCTAAACCTAATAATGCTCTTGATGGAAAAACTATATTGCATTCTTTACCAAGATATTAACATATTTTAATAATGAATTTATATATTTCATGCAGCTAAAAAAATTTATTCATTTGGGGGTTATTGTGGACATATAAAATATGCATATGATTCATATAAATATGTACTATATTTATACATATTCATATGAATATAGTATATGAAATCCATATAAAATAAGTGTGTGTCATTATTATGTACATTATGTTAGGATTATATGGTAGCTTACCCTTTTTGGTACTGGATTTATAATTTGCTTCCTGGTTAAAAATTATATGATCTATTTTTTTTAATCTTCATAGTTTCTTCCCTTAAGTACACAAATTAAGGTTATATTTCTTTGTATTAACTATAAGCCTATACATACTTCTTACTTTCATATGATAGTAAATATAAGGGGAGATGAATATTACTTATATTCATATATGAAGAACATTTTTAATTTTGCTCAGTAGCAACTGTTTTGATGACATACTCATGTTTTAGTTCAATGTAATAATCATCAAGGCCTCATTATGTCCCAGTACTTTACTAGTCCTTACTTGGAATATGAAAATTAATGTTTAAAAATAGTTCTTGCCTGCAGAGTTTGCCATTTAGACTTACAGTAGACTTTATTTCTTGAGACAGTTTCACAAATTGTATATTTCCTCCCCCTTTCATCCATCCTTGGGAATTCTGTCCTTTAAGGAGAGAGAGGAGCAGAAAAATTCTGCCTACAGATCTTTTCAAAAAAAAAAAAGGGAAATGGATCACTTACTTTTGAGAATCCTTATATTGCCACATTCCAATGGTTAGTGATGTCTTGATTATCTCCAGATTTTAAAGGTAAAGAAATAACATTTGATGCTTTGTGTTTCCATAATTGACCTTTTTGTTTTTATATTTAAAGAAATATTCTATAAAGTACAACCCAGGATATGTGTTGGCCAGTCGTCTTGGAGTGAGTGGATACCTTGTTTCAAGGTTTACAGGAAGTATTTTTATTGGAAGAGGATCTAGGAGAAAGTAAGTTTATGTTAGAGAAATTTATTTAAAGTGGCAGAAAAAATTAAATGATAAAGATAAACTGGTTAATATTTTAGTATTTATTTTCTTTTATTAATTGCTCGGAATTTTCTTTAAAAATTATGCATAAATTCCTCTGATGGTGATCTTTCATCTAAATGGGACATGTTTTAGGTGTTTGGAAAGACAGTTCTTATTTTTAGCAGCTAACAAATTGAACCTTGAAAAAAGGTATCAGAAGGTGTGTGTGAATCTCAATAATATATTTCCCTGCATTTTCTTATTTCGTTCTCTTCTCTAGATACATAATCTATTTATATGATTTGTTAACTTGGGTTTCAAAGCCTTACTGCTACTTTGGAAATAACCATGAAACCTATAGAACAATCAAAACTAAATTTTTCTAAGAATTTTTTGAAAGCAAAACTTTTTGTATTCTTTGAACAAAATTTTAAAACTGTGTGTGTGTGTGTGTGTGTGTGTGTGTGTGATTTAAATTCAGCCCTCATGGAGACCATAAAGCAAATGTGGGTTTGAATCTCAAATTCAACAAAAAAAATGAGGAGGTACCTGGATATACCAAGAAAGTTGGAAGTGAGTGGATGTATTCATCTGCAGCAGAACAACTTCTTGCAGAGTACTTAGAGAGGTAAGTGCCTAATAAGATCCTACTAAGCATCCCAAAAATGTGGGAATGTAATAACTATTTTGCTTTTGCTGATACCAATTTTAGACAAAAAAATCTTTCCTTTGGTAAAATGTGACATATTACATATAAACTTAATTTTATATCATGGAGCATCATAGCTATTAGGTAAAAGAAAATAGAAAAATACTGTATATTATTTATTTATTTTTATTTTATTATGTTAATCACCATACATTACATCATTAGTTTTTGATGTAGTGTTCCATGATTCATTGTTTGCGTATAACACCCAGTGCTCCATTCAGTATGTGCCCTTTTTAATACCCATCACCAGGCTAACCCATCACCCCACCCCCCTCCCCTCTAGAACCCTCAGTTTGTTTCTTAGAGTCCATAGTCTCTCATGGTTCATCTCCCCCTCTGATTTCCCCCCATTGATTTTTCCCTTCCTGCTATCATCTTCTTTTTTTTTTTTAACATACAGTGTATTATTTGTTTCAGAAATGAAAAAAAGATGATGAGAATTGGCCTCCTTTTATTTTTTTTAATTTTTAATTTTTTTTAATTTTTTTGTTTTGTTTTTTTAAGTAATCTCTATACCCAGTGTGGGGCTTGAACCTACAACCCTGAGATCAAGAGTTGCACTCTCAGGCGCCTGGGTGGCTCAGTTGGTTGGGCGACTGCCTCGGGTCATGATCCTGGAGTCCCGGGATCGAGTCCCACATCGGGCTTCCTGCTCGGCGGGGAGTCTGCTTCTCCCTCTGACCCTCTTCCCTCTCGTGCTTTCTATCTCTCATTCTCTCTCTCTCTCAAATAAATAAATAAAATCTTTAAAAAAAAAAAAAGAGTTGCACTCTCCACCAACTAAGCCAGCCAGGTGCCCCTTGGCCTCCCTTTAATGAAAATTTTCCTTAACTTGCTATCATAAATTATTCACTACTTTGCATGTCTATGTTAGTAGTAAGAGGATTGGTATGGAAAAACAAAACAACTCTTCACACAGTGGATTTTCTGAGTCTTAAAACTCCAACCAGATAATAGGTTACTATCCTAAAATTACTGAATCTTATGCTGAAATGGTCTAAGAAATCAATAAATCTCAGCTCCTCATTATAAAAATGAGAAAACTGTGTGTTGAGATTAACTGAGTTACTCAGTGACAAAGATTTATAGGGAAAATGTTTACTTCTCATTCACAATTGAATATTCATTCCTTTGTTCTACTGGTTTCTAACCTTGTATTTGAGGATCCTCTTAGTTTACTAGGGCTGCCATAATGAAGTAGCACAAACTGGATGGCTTAAAACAACAGAAATTTATTGTCTCACAATTCTGGAGACCAGAAGTCCAAAACCAAGGTGTTTGGTAGGGCTATGCTTCCTTTGAAGATGGTAGGAAAGGAACCATTCCATGCCTCTTTGCTAGCTTCTTGTAGCCTCACGCATTTGTTCTTAACTCCAGTCCTCCACCTTCCCGTGTTCTCCCTGTACATCTTCACATCATCTTTTCTCTGTTAATGCCTGTCTCTGTCCAAATTTCCTCTTTTCATAAAGATACTTCATAAAGATAAAAAAATCATGTTAGATTAGGGCCCACCCTAAAGGCCTCATTTTTATTTTATAACCTTAATAAAAACCTTATTTTCAAATAAAGTCACATTCTGAAAGTAGTAGGAGTGGGACTTCAATCTTTTTTTTGGGGAAGGAACATAATTCAATCCTATATTACCATCTGAAAATTTATTTATTTTGTCCACTTCCATATTTCTTTCAAATGTTGTATTTATCCTACTTTTTCATTATTTTTCAACTTGACATACGCATTGATTTCATACCATGAAAGATGAAGCTTTAGCTCTCTTCTGCTACCTCCCCTTTCTATTTCCTCACCTGCACATACACACACATGTGTGTGTGTGTGTGTATTTCCCCTTTCATTATAGTTGTATTAAATCTGTATTTAAGGTTTACTTGATTGAGATAATGTAAATGGTCACAAGTGGACCCTGTAGAGTATTATGGTTGCATTTCCTTTCTGTACACATTTTTGTCTTCCCCATCTTGTTTAATTATTTGCTTATTGTCTATATTCATATAACTAATTCAGTCCTAAACTCTTTGCCATAGCTGAAAGACAATATAGTCAAACAGATCAGGAGATCTCTCAGTTCCATTTTTTTTCTCATAGACTTCCTCCTTTAAACCTTCTGTCTTCCTGCTTCAGTGTAAACTAATTGTCTTCTAGGGCTATCACACAGCTCTCATTCTAGAGTTTCTCTCTACTGTCTAGGAATTCCCTTCACCATTCTGCTTTGTAGGATTCTTTTATTTCCTGGCTTTCATACCTTTCTCTGTTTTATGTCTCCAGTTTGTTGGGGCACTTAATCTGGTAGCTTCCTGAGAGAGCTTGTGTGTCTGGAAATGTCTTTATTCTTCCCTGACCAGAGTTGATTGATAGCTGGCCTGGGTGTAGAATCCTAAATTGGAGATTATTTTCCCTCAGAATTTGAAAAGTACTGCTGTGTTCTCTTTTTGTTTCCTTTGCTGGTGAGAAGTCCTGTGCCATTGTGATTCTGAATCTTTGTGTGTGATCTGTTTTCATTTTCTGAAATCTTTTCAGAATCTTCCCTTTATCAGTGCTGTTTTAATAATATGATGACATGTGCCTTAGTATGGGTCTTCTTTCTTTCCTTTGGCTATTCAGTCTTTTCACACTTAAAACTGATGTCCTTCCATTCTGAGAAGACTTCTTGCATTATTTCTTTGATAATTCCCTCCTCTCCTTTTTTTTTCTGTTCTGTCTTTCTGAGACTTCTGTTAGATGATAGACCTGGATTAATCCTCTTAATTTTCTTATCTCTTCTCACTGATTTTCTTTTTTTTTTTTTTTTTAAGATTTTATTTATTTAATTGACAGAGAGACAGAGACAGAGAGAGAGGGAACACAAGCAGAGGGAGTGGGAGAAGGAGAAGCAGGCTTCCCGCCGAGCAAGCAGCCCGATGCGGGGCTCGATCCCAGGACCCCGGGACCATGACCTGAGCCGAAGGCAGTCGCTTAACCAACTGAGCCACCCAGGCGCCCCCTCACTGATTTTCTATATTGTTACACTTCTGTTCTACTCTGTGGGAGATTTCTTCAACTTACATTATTTTTATTTTTATTTGATTTAATCATTTTTAATTTCTAAAAGTGTGTCCTTTTTCTCTGACATTCCTTTTTTATAGTGTCTTTCTCTGAAGATGGTAGTTCTCGTTTTTCTTCTCTATATTTTCTGTTTTCTCCAAATTGCTCTTTTTTTTCTGTTTGATTTGATTGCACCTTTCACATTAAAGATTTTTTTTTTTTTACTTGTCTGGTGGTTCTTTGGTGTCTAATCATATTTAAGGATGAGGCACTAAAAATCTGATTGGAAATTTAGTGTGCTTTGGTGGGGCTTGTCAGGTGGGACTTTGCTATTTTTGCAAAGGACCTCCAACTATCACTATCTGTATGTGTATATTTTCTCTCAGGTTGGCTAGTTTTCCTAGAGAGGTAGCCTCCAGCCTTTTCCTTGGAGGACAGATGTGAGGAACAAAACTGACTTCCAGTGTTTTGGATATTAACCAGGGTAAAGGGAACTTACTATGTAATGGGTACTATGAAATGCCCTCCAAACCTCCCTGTAAAGGACTTATTTATATGGCAGCTTAAATGCTGTTGTCTGACAGCCCTCAGCTGTGAGCTCTCTTCAGGAGTTGCCTTGCAGAAGAGAACTGCCTCCCCTAAAGTTATATCCCCTTCCCACAACAGCCACAGATCCAACACCTGATCTGCAAGGAGGTGTGAAAGACCCAGCCGACCTGATTGCCCCAGTTCAGGATAAATCTGAAGGGCCATCCTAGTTTGAGATCTCTGTAGGACTGACCAAGGAGTTCATTAACAGTGGATCACAGCCCAACTTCTCCCTCTGCCCAATTCTGCTTCCTTCCTTTTTTCCTTCCCTTCTACATGTGTTGATTCCACAAGAGCTCTCTGATAAACTTTCTTCTTGCTTACTTTCATCTTAAGAGTGTGCTTCCTAAAGAAGTTACACTTCCTAGCCTGCTTCCTAGCAACATGTTATGTAGTAGTTACACTTTCATTAATTCCCTGTCATCTCTTCATGCCCTACCCACCCATCTCCCTGTGCCTTGTATACCTAAAGCTAGAGCATCCCCTGTTCAACCTCTCCAAAAGATAAACTGCAAACAGGTCTTACGCTGGGGTGAAGGTGAGTAAGCACATGATCATCCAACTGCTTATTATACAAAATTTTCAACTAAAAGCCTAGTAAACTTCACCCTGCCCATACTACGGCATTACAGTGTACCTGGAGCCCATAATTCCTGCGCTTTTGCAGACTTGCACAGTTTAAATTATCTTGCTTGTTGTTGACTTCCCACCCTAGTTGCTTAGGGTGCAGCTTTTTCCTGTCTTTCAAACCAGTTAATGCTTACCCATCCAGTTTCCAGTTTCTAAAATTTTGTTAACAACTCATATATGCTATCAGACTTACCACTTCTCTTTTCATGCCTTTGTGGGTCTATGCCCTATTTTATACTTTACTCTATTTTTAGTAGGTTGGGAAGTGAGCAAAAAATTAAGCACATATGTTCAATCTGCTATGTGTATTTAAAAGTCCACTATTCAGGAAGCAATGGAGTTTTGAGGAATATCAAAAGAAACTTCTAGTGTATTTTAATTTTCTTTATTGTGGGGTGCTCCAGCTTTGTTGTGAAAATTAGAAAATGAACATGTAGATATTAGTTTTGTCCATTTATCACCCATCATTATGATCTGATGGCAATTAGAGTCAGTAACTGAATAAGTAATTAAAGTTTATTACAGTTTATGAATTGAATCATTTCTCCCTCAGCTACTGAAAGTTTTTTGAGGGCCTGTGAATACTTTCAAATCATTTAGTCTCTATCCCTTATTAATACTCTCTGTGTTACAATCAATCCTCAATATGTTTTATATGTCCCCTTGGGATCCAGAATTATTTGAGAGGGAAGTTTATGTGAAGTTAGCCATATATATTTTCTAAGCAGTATTTTTGTTTGTTTGGCTAGAGCTCCAGAACTATTTAGTTATATAGCCAAAAATAGCCAAGAGGATGTATTCTATGAAGATGACATTTGGCCTGGAGAAAATGAGAACGGGTAAGCAAAATTTGTGGCATTTATTGGCTCATAGTTCAGCTTAGTGTTCCAGTGAAAGGTACAGTAGCTAGCTTATCAAGAATTTATATTACTTTTGTGAGGAGGGTTTCATATATATATATATATATATATATATAATTTCATATATATATTTACTTTAAGATCTTCAGATAATTTATTTCACTTATATCAGTAAAGTACTTTTAAACTAATTTTGTGGGTTTTTTTAAGTTACTGAGAAGTAATATGTCCATGTTCACATTAGATTTATAACTAGCCCCAATTAAGTTCAGTGATTAATTATTAATTATTTTATGTCTTTTATAATTCACAGCCCTCAGGAAATTTATATTAGGCCTTTTGTATAAAACCTCAAAGTTTTAATCATTGTGAAAAAATTATTGTTTCTAATATAGTGCCGAGAAAGTTCAAGAAATTATTACTTGGCTAAAGGGACATCCTGTCAGTACTTTGTCTCGTTCTTCTTGTGATTTACAAATTCTGGATGCAGCTATTGTTGAGAAAATTGAGGAAGAAGTCGAAAAGTGCAAGGTACAAATTTTCGATAACCCAAGATGTTTGATGAGATTTGAAGTTAAATGGACTATATATCATCCTACAAATAATTTAGTTTTGTTTCAACCAAATAAAACATGAACTCAGTGATTTTAATTTATGTCAGGTAATCCTTTAGTTTAAAAAAATGTTCCAGCCATTTCCAGTAGCCATTAATAAGTTTATCTGAATAAAAAGAAATGCATTTTAATATATAAAAACTATAACATTTAAATTTTATGTCCTAATGGTGTTTCTAATTTTAGGAATTAATATTCTGTAATTCTAGCCAAAATACAAAGTTTGTGATTAAGAAATAAGGTTAATCCCCTCCTCTTCCTATTCTAAGTTCTTTAAAGACATAGTTCTTTTTATAGAACATAAATATTGTGTTTAGTTCACTTTTACAGAATCACTTTTTTTTTTTTTTAAAGATTTTATTTATTTATTTGACAGAGAGAGAGAGAGAGACAGCAGAGTAGGAACACAAGCAGGGGAGAGGGTCAGAGGGAGAAGCAGGCTTCCCGCCGAGCAGGGAGCCCGATGTGGGACTCAATCCCAGGACCCTGGGATCATGACCCGAGCCGAAGGCAGACGCTTAACGACTGAGCCACCCAGGTGCCCCCAGAATCACTTCTAAAGTGTACTTTCCCATCCACAAACACATTCAATATTTTTTAAATCCTATTTAATCTTTCCTATTTTTTTATGTCTTGATTTTAAAAAGCAATAATCTTCTGTGTAGACGTAACTATTTTACTTATTTTGATCCTGTATCTTGATATAATGGAAAATGAATTGATTATATTCCCTTTTCTAACTTTTGATTTTATTTTCCACACATTTGCCTTTTTATTAAAATGATGTTGCTTTGCTAACACAGCAGTCTAATAGCAAACTAAGTTAAAAAATGGGCTCTGAAGCCATTTTCCCCCATTTCTCTTTCAATACTTTTAACCTTAGGCAAGATACTTAAGATACTTACTTTCCATGCCTCTATTTCCTCACTGGTAAAATGAGAATAAAATAGTACTACTTCATAGGGTCATCAAAAGGATTAACTAAGTTAGAGCATGTAAACTTCTTCTAATAGTGCCTGTTTTTAATGCCTAACAATGCTTGGCTATTATTATTTGAATTCTCTTATCACATATTCAAGAGCTATGAAGACAGTCTGGAAAATTACTACTGGATGACTCTTTTTCTCTTTAGGAAAAAATATACGGCTTAGAGCCAAGAGTTTGATTTTTTGAAAGGTCATTGATAGATAAGGATAGAAACCTGCATTTCATTTTTTTTTAACTGGCATTTCTTTTTGTCTTTCAACCTAGAGTAAAATCCATTTGTACAGCATTGTTTTTGAAATGAGTTTTCCACTTAATAAAGTTTATTACTCTAAGCCCCCAAATTTTATTTTGATGTTTGATAGTCTCCATTTCTAACAAGCTCCCAGATGATCACATTTTGAATAGCCAGACCTAGAACTTTTCATTTCGTAGCTGTGGGTTGGAGCCTATTGTGAAAATTCCTCAGTTTATTAATTTGCTTAATGAATCAGGTTTGATTGCCATGTCCTCTAATCGGTGCTATAATGTAGTAATTCCTAGAGATATATTAAAGCATATGGGTTGTTTTTTTTTCATATACAGAACTCCAGGCATAAGTTTGGGGTCTGCTTTTTAAAATTACTTAAAATACTTACTTTTTCTTCTTCTTGCTATTGTCAGGGGGCACCAGTTGTACCCTATTAGTCTTAGTTTGCTGTGGGCTGAAAGCATAGACATCCTGTCAGTACTGCCTTCACTATTCATTCTATTTAAAATTGCAATCTCTCTCTCCACAGTACTGATCCCCCTTCCCTGCTTTATTTTTCTCTCTGCTTTTTACCTTCAAACATTTGTTGCTTGTATGTGTCCCTAAGTAAAGAAACAGGTTACTGTTTTATCCTTAGCACCTAAATTAATACATGGCACATAAATGTAACTCAGTAAAGATTTGTTGAAAGAATAAATGAAATGCCTTTATAGTAAAAGATAATAGGGTCTGTTTAAAGGCTTGAGCATTTTCCAGTATAAATACACGAACTCTGTAGTGTACGGCCTCTATAGCTTGGAGTTGTTTTATTCTCTTCTGTACTTATTTCCATAAGGTATGTTCTAAAGATAGGTGGCTGCAAAATAAGTAAACTGTTGCCGTTTGTCTTAGTTGGTAAGAATTCACTTAAAAATATTTAATGTGAATGGTAGTTATGGATTACAGTGGATATAAACTATTCTCATGGTTTGATTAGGTAGAACAGGTAATGTTATTTCTATTTTACAGTAGAAGGAGGCTGATGCTTAAGGTGAGTGTGAGTTCACAAAATTGACAAGGAGTAAAGATGGGACAGAACTCTTCTTCCAGCATTTGTTAGATGATCAGAAAATTCAGACATCAAAGCCAATTTCGTAAGAGCTTCCAAAAGCAAGGGCTTTGTTAAATCAGTGCCACCTTAATTTTTATAAGTAGCCATAAAACCCACAGTATTGTCATAGATCAGTACTTTATACTTTTTTTCTTTTAATATAGTTCTTCATTGACCATCATGTACAATTCTTTTAAGAGTAAAAAGGCATTTGAATAGGATAACATTTACATAAAGTTCTAAACAATTTAATCTTTTGTTAGCAGTAAGGTTACTTTGGGGAAGGTAGTAACTGGGAAGGAATACAGGAGTTCTTATGTTGTACTAGTAATGTTCTCTTTCTTGAACTCAGCATGGTTATACATAGATAAGCTCATACTACAAAAATTCATCAGGCTGTATACATACAATTTTGCATTTTTCTATGCCTTATACTTCAACAAAAAATTTAACTTTAAAAAAATTTTAAGGGGCACCTGGGTGGCTCAGTTGCTTAAGCATCTGCCTTCGGCTCAGGTCATGATCTTGGGGTCTTGGGATCAAGCCCTGGGTCAGGCTGCCCACTCAGCAGGGAGTCTTCTTCCGTTCCCTCTGCCTCTCCCACTGCTTGTGCGCTCTCTCTCTCTCAAATAAATAAATAAAATCTTTAAAATTTTTTTAAGGAAAATAGGTTTTATGTATTTATTTACTTATTTTTAGGCTTTTATTTGTTTATTTTCTTGACACAGAAAGAGAGAGAGCACAAGCAGAGGGAGCCATAGGCAGAGGGAGAGGGAAAAGCAGGCTCCCTGCTGAGCAGGGAGCCCAATACGGAACTCGATCCCAGAACCCTGGGATCATGACCTGAGCCAAAGGCAGACACTTAACGACTGAGCCTCCCAGGTGCCCCCCCAAAATTTTTTAAGTAAGAATTTATTATTCCTCCCTGCTGCATCTGAAGAACTTCAGATATTCTTTAAATTGCTCATTTCATTTGGCTTTTAAAAATGAATGGTAATGGGGGCGCCTGGGTGGCTCAGATGGTTAAGCAACTGCCTTCGGCTCAGGTCATGATCTCGGAGTCCTGGGATGGAGTCCCACATCGGGCTCCCTGCTTAGCAGGGAGTCTGCTTCTCCCTCTGACCCTCTTCCCTCTCATGCTCTCTATCTCTCATTCTCTCTCTCTCAAATAAATAAATAAAATCTTAAAAAAAAATGAATGGTAATGAATGATGTCCAACTGAATAATAATTTTATATTTTTAATGTAAATCCAGATAACAATAATTTTATAATTATGTTTTTAAATATTTAAAAATTTTTCTTTCTTCAGCAAAGAAAGAATAATAAGAAGGTACGAGTGACAGTGAAGCCCCATTTGCTGTACAGAGTAAGTTTCTTATCCAAGTTGTTTTTATTTTGAAAGTATAGAAGGAACAAAATGTTTTTGTTATAGTAATAGAAAAATTATTTCAAATTAGAGTTAATTAAAGCTTTCTTCTCTTCAGCCTTTAGAACAGCAACATGGAGTCATTCCTGATCGAGATGCAGAATTTCGTCTCTTTGACCGTGTGGTAAATGTGAGAGAGAACTTTTCAGTTCCAGTTGGCCTTCGGGGCACCATCATAGGAATTAAAGGGGGTAATATCTCAATACTTGGCATGTCTTCAACTGCATCTAAAATTGTAAAGTAAAACACAAATTTCCGTGCCTTATATCTAAGCAGAAGGCAACAATGTACATGTAGTTAACACTATTGTACTGTACACTTAAAAATAATTAAGATGGTAAATTTTATGTCATGTATTTTTTATTTAAAAAAAAGAGAGAGAATGGAGGGAAAAGGGAAGAAGCAACTAAGGATCTAAATGTGCTCAAAGGGATGCCTGGTGTGAGCAGCTTTGCAGTGTAGATACCAAAAAAAGTCAGCCTAGCATGAAGCAGCAAATCCGGTGCCAAGGGGTCAAGGTATTGGCAGCACTGTCCTTTCCTCTCTCAAGCACTCAACCTTGGTCTGATTGTCTGGACTAGGAATGGTAAGGGCCAGATGGGTAATAATGAAACAACCCTCCTGCTCAACCCCCGATTCAGCTGTTCAAATCCTGGGCTTATTAGATTGTATTCTAGTTAAGTTGTCTTGATATAAGGCCTTAGGACTCTGATAACATCGAAGTTTCCTTTCTTCTGACAGTTCCTATCAGTAATAGTGACTGCTTGGGATTTGTCTTGAAAAGGATTTTAAAGCTGTATCTATGCTGAGTGGGAAAGAGCTCTGTCGTTGATTAACCATGTCTGCCATGGATAAAAAGGGGAATATTTCATTACTGCCCTTAGCTGAGACCTCATCTCCATAGTCAATTTCTCTACAGGGAATAAACAGTCCTCTTACCTTTTATAATCTTAATAATCTTTTGAGGAATACCCTTCCCTCAGGGAATAAGAACCTAAAAGGTGAGCTTTAAGCCTTCAGAGGAGAAACTCCTGCCTCTCATTGAGCCTTACTTTCTTGAGTTCAGATTTCAGGTAAAAGTAGGTTGAAAGATACAGGTGGATGTTGGGGAATGGATGAGCTCTGCAGGCCTGGTTTCAGCTGGGCAATGAAGGACTGGGGATGGGGTACAGACATCCCTCCACTCCTACCCCCGGCTAGGATATTATCAAATATTGTATTAGGATTCTCTAGAGAAACAGAACCAATAAAGTGGGAAAGGTGGAGAGAAATCGAGGATGGGGGGGAGGGGGAGTGGTGAAGGGAGGAAGGGAGGGAGAAGAGGGGAGAGGGAAGGGGGTAGGGTTGGTCAATTCTGAAGTAATGTGATAGACTCTATTATTAATTTGGGCTTAGAATTCAAATAAAGCTAATTATTTCACTTTCCCTTGGCATTTCGGGTAAATTTAATCTTGCCAGATATATCTCATCAGGCTCTGCCAAATTTGTTCTTCTCTGTTCCTATGTAAGTTTATTGCACTTTCTCATGTGTCTCATATCTCAGTTATGGCATCCATAATCTACCAGGTCATCTCAGCCAGAACCTTGGAGTCATCTTTGGCATCTCTGTCCTTTTTATCTACACAGGTCACAAATTCCTGCCAGTTCTATCTAATGATATTTCTGTTCTCTCCATTCTGTTCCCTTTATTAAATAAACTGCCATGCTTTCAAATCGTCATTGTCTTTTATCTGTCTTACTGCAATACTTTCTGAACTGCGAACTCCGAAGTGACCTCTTTTATTAACTTTTATTATGAATAATTTCCAACATAGACAAAAGCACAGAGAAAAATATAATTAATCCCCTCACAGCATCTAATTTAAAATATTATTTTACTTTAAATTAATACCAGTAAGGTAATCTGCAAGTTTATCTACTTTTCATTTACTGTTTTCCCCTATACCATTCTCTGATAGTTGTAATGCCTCTAACAAGCCAAAAACTTAAATGCTGATTCTTCATCATATGATTTTTAAATCTCTCTTATTTAACAGCTAATAGAGAAGCTGATGTACTATTTGAAGTGTTATTTGATGAAGAATTTCCTGGAGGCTTAACAATAAGGTTTGTATTTCCTGATGATAATTACACTTTGTAAATATGTCCACGTGGCAGTGACTTTACATTACTTGTTTATTTGTCCACAATTTGAATTCCTGTTATATGCAAGACATCATACATGCTAGTAGGGATGTAACAATGAGTAAGACATGCTTTCTAGTCTCACAAAGCTTTCATTTTAGTGGGAGAGATAATTGTGTAACTGATTATAGTATTAATTATTTAATTAAAATGTGAGAAGTGCTGGGAAGGAGAGGTTCCGGTTTCTGTAAGAGTATGACTTCTAGAAAGGCTTCTTTGACAAGTGATATTTAAGATGGGACTTGAAGACTGAGTAATAGTTAACTGGAGGAAGAGGGAAGAAGAATGACAGGTGGTCAAGAAGAGGCAACAAAGTATTTATTCATTAAAAAAAAAGAATGCAAGTGTGTCTGAACTTCAGCAACTAAGAGAGAAAAGCAAGGAACACACTGTGCAGCAGCTTGTAAGCCAACTTTGAGGACATGCTAATGATTTTGGTATCTTGGTCTTTATCCTTAAAGCAATGTGAAGTCATCAAAATCAGAGGTGTGGCATGATCGCAGATTTTATATTTTAGTGGAATTGTGGGTGTACAGCCACACTGGGGTGTTTTGAGGAAGCAGGAAATTGAGCTGACCCTTGAGAAGTTTGACCATGAAGGAGAGAAAAGGTAACTGGAGGTTAGCAGGTTTAAAGCCAGAGGTTTGGATTTTTTGTTTTTAACTTTCATATGAGATATACTTATTTTGGGGCAGCACTGATAAAAAAGTTAAAGTTACAGGAAAAAAGGAGTATGATAGAACAAAAGATGCATGGAATGGGTTCTGTCACTTAACCTTTGTGCTACTTTGGGTAGGTCGTTAAAAGCATTCTGACCCTCAGTTTCCTTGTTTGTAATGAAGATACATACTTCACTAGGTTATTGTGAGGATCAAATAAAGTCTGGTTTCAGAAATATATGATCTTATAAGTGGAGATCTTTCTATGATTTCAGGTTCCTCTACTAAATTTAAAAGTAATGTTTACTAATTCAGATTATGGACTGACTGTCCACCCAAAAATAATTTGGTTCTTCTGCTCCTAGCACATTTAGTATTATTTCCCTCTGAAATTACTGTTTATTTTTAGGTGCTCTCCTGGTAGAGGTTATCGACTGCCAACAAGTGCCTTGGTGAATCTTACTCATGGGAGTCGCTCTGAAACCGGAAATCAGAAGTTGACAGCCATTGTGAAACCACAACCAGCTGTGAATCACTATAGCTCAAATTCATCAATTTCATCTGGGCATTTGGGAGGCCTGAACCATTCCCCTCAATCACTTTTTGTTCCTACTCAAGTAAGGCTCTTAGTCTTTCATTTCTTTCTGCCCTCTTACAAATCTCAAGCAGACTTTGTAAGTAAAACCTAATTTGACTTAGTTTTTTAAAAAATTTTGGTTCAAGTCAATTTCAAATTTGTTTTAAGTTAATAGGCTAGTAAGGAATGCTACTGGGACATCTGGGTGGCTCAGTCGGTTAAGCATCTGCCTTTGGCTCAGGTCATGATCCCAGGGTCCTGGGATGGAGCCCCACGTCAGGATCCCTGCTCAGTGGGGAGTCTGCTTTTCCCCCTCTCCCTCTCCTCCCTGCTCCTGCTCTCTTTCAAATAAATAGAATTTTTTAAAAAATGCTATTGATAACATCCTACATCTGTTATAAAATTATAAAGAAGAAATAATTTTTAAATGTGAGCTTGAGAATGTCTGTTTTCATATATTTACTTTTCAAGCTACATTTGTATAACTCAAATGTTGTATTCTATCTGCTATGAAATGACATGAATTTGAAAGGTTAACAGAGAGAGGATTATATTTATCAAAAGCCATTTTCAGGTTCCTACCCATGCAACTCATGGATGATTTCCTCTATTTTATCTTTCTGGGACAAAAATTGAATTGTTTTGTGCGAGACATTTAACCTTGTTTAACTCCGTGTCCCCAAATCTTAACCACATTTTAATCCAAGTAATAATGTGTTCGTTATAGACTAATTAGAAAGCCCAGATAAGGAGGTAATAGCAAAGGAAGCAGAAGCAAAAATCAAATTTCGTAGGTAATCACTATTAATCTGCCCAAAATCAACTCCTCATAAGTAATAGCTGGTTTTTTAATCTGTTGGATTACTTTTGTGTAAGATGAAGATTTTAAAAATAAAATTGTTAAATGTTAGCTTGAATGAGATATCAGTACATTGGGAGACTAAAAAAACAATCTGTTGGTAGGGATATTGATTTAGTATAATCTTCCATAACATTTGTCATGCTTTAAGACCATTTTCATTCCAATAGAATATTTCTATGATGACTGTACTGAGCTCCAGAAAAAAAGAACTGAGATTTCAGATAATGGAAGTTAATATTCTATCTACTGCTAAATAACTTTAATGAATTTTTTTATTTTTAATATAAATCTTTATTTTTTTCATGTTTCAGTTCCTTAAGAAATTTTTTGTGCTTTGCCAGGTACCTACTAAAGATGATGATGAATTTTGCAACATTTGGCAGTCCTTACAGGGATCTGGAAAGGTTCAACACTTTCAGCCAACTCTACAAGAGAAGGTTAGTATACCTTGTTTGATAGACATTTAAATTAAAGAAACAAAATTTACATTTTTCTTGTGAGTATGCAATGATTATTTTTTTCCTAAAATCTCATAAAATAGAATAACAGTTTTAATCATGAATTTTCATAAGTCTCTTCAGCCATATATAAAAGTTTTTGGACTCATGAGAGGGAATATAGATAATTTTTCTTTTAAATCAGTTTGGATTTTATTTTAGCTGTTTGCAAAATCATAATAACTATATTTTAAATTCAGCAAAGGCCTTAATGCACTTATTTTTAACTAATTAATTTCCACTTGAATGTGGAGCTTTATGCCGGCACCTAGTTGTCTTAAATATGAATGAGCAAGTTCACATTCCTTAATAGAGATTAAGAAGGGAAAAGAAATTCTGCTAAAAAAGTAGACTCAGACCAAAAAAAGGAAAAAGGTAAAGAATAAATTCCTACAACACTTTTTGCTAGTAACTGACCTGTCTTCTCAGTTTTGGTTAAGAAAGAATATTCTCTCAAGTTTATAAACCAATAGCCTGCACCATGAAAGCCAAATTTATTCTAATGTCCTCCAGTGATGGTGGCATTTTCAGAGTAGAGACAAGAAAATAGCAAAGGAAATGATGGTAAAATAAACATAAAAAGTGAGAGTGACAAAATACACAGTTCTCTTCTGCTAATATGCTAAGTTTTGCTTAGATCATCCATAAATCCTTTCTATCTAAATGCAGTCTATATCCAGAGTTTCAAACCCTCTTTTCCTCTCTAATTTATTTGATACCACTAACCATTCATTTTTTAGGAATGCTTCGTTATCATTCATTCATTTCATTAATTCATTCAGCATGTAGTTATTGAGGGCCTATCATGTTCATTGTTCTATGTGATGAGAATATAGCTATAAACAAAAAAAGAATTCTGACCCTCAAACAAATTGTATTCTGGGGAGGAGAGGACAGGTAAATTACATGGTATATTAGATGGTAATACAAAAGTTTGAGAAAAATTTTGGAGGAGGATAGAGAATGTTGGCGGGGGCGGGGGGGAGGCAAGGTTTTGCAGTTTTAAATAGAATGATCAGGTAACATTTGAGTAAAGATTTGAATGAAATGAGGAGTAGAGTATGTAGATATCTGAGGTGAGGGTATTCCAGAGAAGTTCAAAGACCCTGTTGGGAAGACAATTCCAGGTGTACTCAAGGAAGAGAAAAAAGAGCCATAGTGATGGCTTTTAATCAATTAGGCTGAGTTGTAGGAACTGTAATTAGATCCCATGCAGGACCTTCTGGGTCATTATAAGGACATTGTTTTTTACTCAGTAAAATGAGGAATCAGTGAAGGGTTTTGAGCAACAGAATGACATGATCTGATTTATATTTTAATAGGATCATTCTATCTGCTATCTTAAGAATAGAATGTAGAGGAGCCAGGATAGAAACAGATTAGTTAGGAGACTACTGGAATCATCAAGATAGAGTTGATACTGACTTGGACCAGAGTAGTAGGAGCCTGGAGAAGTGATCAAATTCTAGGCATATTTGGAAGGAATTGCTATCTAATGATGAATTGGATATAGGGCTAAGAGAGAAAAAAAATGGATTAAAGAGTGTGACTCTTAAGGTCTTAGTAACTAAAAGGATAGAGTGGCTGTTACCTAAGATGGAGAAGATTGCAAGTCAAGTAGGTTTGTGGAAGAAGATCTGGAGTTCAATTTTGGTCATAGTAAGTTTGAGATGTATATTAAACATCTAAGTGGAGATACAGAGTTAGAAATTTGAGTAGAGGGGCTCCTGGATGGCTCAGTTGGTTAAGTGTCTACCTTCGGCTCAGGTCATGATCCCGAAGTCCAGGGATTGAGCCCCATGTCAGGCTCCCTGCTCAGTGGGGAGTCTTCTTCTCCCTCTCCCTCTGCTTCTCCCCTTGGTCGTGCTCTCTTGCTCACTTACTCTCTCAAATAAAGAAAATCTTTTAAAAAAAAAAAAAAGATACTTGAGTAGAGATGTAGAGTTGGACATTGATTCTGATGGTTATGGAGGATGTCCAAGCTGGAGAGAGAAATTTGGGCATGTATGTGTGTATCTATATCTATTTATCTACATCCAAAGAAGTCTAATAACTTAGCCTCAGAGAATTCCATCCTTAAAGAGTCAGAGAGATTAGGTGAACCTGACAAACAAGATTGAGAAGGAATGGCCATTGTACAGGAAGAAGACCAGTAAAGTGTGGTATTCTAGATGCCAAGTGAAGAATGGATGTCAAGGAGAGTAATCAGCTGTGTCAAATGCTGGTGATGGATCAGTTAAAATGAAAACTGAGAATTGACCATAGAGTTTTGTATCTGAGGTCATTGGAAATCTTGACAAGGGCAGTTTCAGTAGAGTGGTAAGAGTGAAATACCAAGAAGAGTGTGTTTAAGAGAGAAGGAGAGAAGAAAAATTAGAGGTAGCAAATATAGGCAATTATTTCAAGGATTTATACTCTAAAAGGAAACATTACCCTGACTCCCCTCTTGCCTTTTGCTTTTCATTCAACTTCTTTCTTAACCTGTTTTTCCAGCTATTCAGCTGGGCGCTATTTCACTGAACAATAGTTTTTTTTCTCCCCCTTTTTATCATTTGGTGACATTGGCTCTTACCTTGCTGCTAATTTAACCACTCAGTCTATGTGATCCATACTTCTCAATCAGGATCAATCTAAGCCAGTATGTCCAACTTCCTAGAAGACAGGTATAGACAGACACCCCACTATCATCTCAGCTGAAAGATGTCTTAGAATTCACCTCATCTGAAGCTTCTTACCCTTATTTCTAACACTACCATTTCCCCAGGCACATAATCTGAAAAGCATGGAGTAAAAACTTTTTCCTTTTTCCCTTCTTTTTTTTTTTTTTTTGCAATGAGGTTCGAAATCTTTTTATTTCTTGCCAGTTCCCACAACTGGGTCTTACTTAGATGGTCATCCTAAACCTAGATTAACCTCCTATCTGTGCTTCCTGCTTCTTGCCTCTTTCCTTTTTAGTCCTTCTTACATAGTACTGTTTGGTATATCTTTCCTAATGATCTTTCTTGGTGATTCTTTCGCCTGTGTTGGCCCAGTGGCATAATTGGGCAAAATATCTAATTAATAGGAGCTTCTGGATTTGAACTTAGTTTGTTCCCTGAGGCACTGTGGTGTGATAAATCTTGTACTGGACTCAGAATCAGGAAATCAGATTTGGTGACTCAAATTGAGCAACTCTAATTTCCTTGGGCCTCTGTGGCCTCATATTCAAAATTAAGGCACTAGACTTGGATGACCTCTTTTCCAGCCCTAAAGAATGTTATTCTTGGGGCGCCTGGGTGGCTCAGTCGTTAAGCATCTGCCTTCGGCTCAGGTCATGATCCCAGGGTTCTGGGATCGAGCCCCGCATTGGGCTCCCTGCTCGGCGGGAAGCCTGCTTCTCCCTCTCCCACTCCCTCTGCTT